ATATAAAATATATATATATATATATATATATATATATATATATATATATATATATATATATATATATATATATATTATTAAAATTATGAAAAATTGTATTCATTGGTTGATGTAAAAGAACCTTAAATGATACCTAAAAAAAGTAGCTTTAACCACATTGAATTTATTTTCCTTATTTATTTGTATCAAATATTATGAATGTGTTTTATTTTCAGTCATCTTTATATAAAATTTAAATAAAATAAATATAATTAATGTTTTACAATATAAAATGTATTTTGTATCTATCTTGCAAGGAAAGTAAGAGAAATAAAAAGAAAAAATTGTAAGAAGATTTCGAAGCAACAAAGCGGCACCTAAAGTGTGTATAATGATATTATTATTTATGAATATTTGTGATATATTTTTTAAGTCCTTTTCTAAATATAATGGATGGTAGTTGTTGCGTGAAAAAATACTTAGAAGATTACTTGACTAAATGTCAAACATTAAACCCATTTTAATTTATAAATAATTATATGAATTTAAGAGTTAATAATCAATATTTCATTGCATCATTTTAGTAAATATAAAAAATATTCATTTAAATTATATATATATATATATATATATATATATATATATATATATATGAAACTAATTAATATATTTTAACGTTAGATTAAGTATGCATAAAAGTTAAACATATATTCACCATTATATTAATTAATTGAGTTAAATATATTTTTAATTTTTAATTTATTATGCAAAATTAAATTTCATTTCTAACTTTGATTGTTTTATCTTAATTTTTATAAATGAATAGACGTAGTTTTTATTATTAAATTTCATTACAAATTTATTGATGTGACAAATAACATGATACATTGTAATGACCTGAATATACATATGTCAACATATGAACACATACATATTAACATAGACACATACACTTAGCAATACTATTAACTAAGTCGATAAATTCTTAATCTGTTTAATAACTATGAATATATTTATTTATTTTTAAAAGTAAAAGATTAAATACTATCAAAGTTTGGGACTGGAAACGAAATTTAATTTTGTATTATAATATAAAAACTAAAAATATATTTAATATTTTTTATTAAGTTCAAGTGTCCATCTCATTTGAATCTAAGATTATTAATTCAGTATAATTTAAATTTAATATTTTAAAATTATAACTAACTTATTTTTTATGTGTTATTTAAATAGTGGGTTAATTTGACAAAAAATTCAAGTTTATATTCGGTTAAATTTAAAATACTAATACTTTTTAGTAAAATATATCATAGGCCTGATTTTAATAATTCATTTTATAATAAATTATAAATGTTTTACTACTAAATCTTAAAAAAATATCATACTAAAAATAAAATCTAATATGCAAAATATATCACCAAATTTATAGATATTAAAAGTATACATGAGTATTGGTCAGATTTGATTTTGAATTTAATCTGACTAACCCATTATGACTTAAATTTAATATTTTAATTTTTATATTTGATTACTTGACTTAGTGAGATGCAAATTATTTAAGTCACGACTTAATTTAAATAAAAAGGATATTTTAATATAGATTTTTTTTTGCAATACTTTATATAATATATGTATACTTTTTTTACAAATTCATTATTTATTTGTTAATGGATTGACATAATTTAAATTTAATAAAAAAAATATAAATATCCTATATCAAAATTGTCAAAAAATTTGTATTAATATATTATTATTTTAATTTAAATATATTATTTCGATAAGGAATATTGAATCAATTTTCTAAAAAATAATTCTATTTTACTTTTAAATAAATGAAATAAATATATCAAACTTTTTTAAGAAAATCACATGATAATTTTAATAATATGTTCATAATAAACTATAATTTTATATAACTTATTATTAAATTTTAATTGTAAAATCTCATATAGAAACATAGTAAGTCCACATTTTAATATAAGAAAAAAATGAGAAGTAGACTGTAAGTAAAATATTGAAGTTACCGTCATCCCAAAATAAGTCTTAATTTAAAACTTTAAGTACTAAAGAATAATTCAAAATACATGAAATAACTAAGAAAATTCTAAGGAGACTAGGCTGCAACATCATCTTCCTCCAAAGCCTGCTCCAGAGGCACCTCATCCATCTCTGCTCACATCTAAGTGGATGATCATTGTAAAAGAAAAACATACCCAAACAAAACACAACACAGAAG